AAACTTTCTCGAAATAATGACTTAGTTTCTCATAATAATGAGTAATGAAACTTTCTCATAATAATGACTTATTTTCACATAATAATGACTTAGTTTCTCGTAATAATGATAAACTTTCTCATAATAATGACTTAGTATCTCGTTATAATGAGAAACTTTCTCATAATAATGACTTAGTTTCTCGTAATAATGAGAAACTTTCTCGAAATAATGACTTAGTTTCTCATAATAATGAGTAATGAAACTTTCTCCTTAGTTTCTCATAATAATGAGAAACTTTCTCGAAATAATGACTTAGTTTCTCATAATAATGAGAAACTTTCTCATAATAATAACTTATTTTCTCATAATAATGAGAAACTTTTTCGAAATAATGACTTAGTATCTCGTTATAATGAGAAACTTTCTTATAGTAATGACTTAACCTAATCCCAAAAAAAAAAAAAAAAAAAGACTTACTGGGCGCCTCGGCCGGGACAGAGGGACAGCACGCTAGCGCCATCTGTTGGTCAAAGCCATGCAGGAACACCGCTAACATTGCATGTGATGCATGAAAGGGACAGCTAATAAAACTAATAAATCATCGAAATACACATCTATAAATTAAGTTTATATGTGTAATGGCTTTCATTTCTTCATAAAATGACTGGATTTCTTAACTGAAATATTGGTCTGGAATGTTTGAAGCCATAACTATCTGGCAGAGTAACTATTACACAAAAGACTACATACAGATAATTTATTTGAAATCGTTATTTAATGACAGACTATAGCATTATACACTTCAGATTACAGAACAAAGAAATGTTAGCAGTGTTCCTGCATGGCTTTGACCAACAGATGGCGCTAGCGTGCTGTCACTCTGCGGAACGCAGGCGGCGAGGAAGTCTTTTTTTTGGATTAGGTTAAGTCATTATTACGAGAAAGTTTCTCATTATAACGAGATATTAAGTCAGTATTATGAGAAAGTTTCTCATTATAACGAGATACTAAGTCATAATTTTGAGAAAGTTTCTCATTATTATGACTTACAAAATTATATTTTTTTATTCAGTGGTGGAAACGGGCTTCCATACGCTTTTCTATAAAAGGGTGCACTAGACTTTTAGAAATATGCTTTGGTTTAGACACCTAAATGTTCATAATTAACTTGATTATTTAGTTGATTAATAATTAACTTAATTAAAACACAATAATTAACTTGATTATTAACTGTTGATTATAAAAAAATATGTCTAACAGGATGGAAATAAAGAGCTAAGTTTATGCAAAATCAGTGCCCATTGAGAGATTGACAGTTTGCAAATTCACATTTTTAAATATATTTTGCCATCAGCTTTGTCATCAGATCAAAAAAAGGGGAAGGGTAGTGGATGATGTTAAGCATTTAAGGGTTGGGGAAAATAACTAAGTTAAACACACACACACATTAAGATGATATATTAAGAAGACACATGATGGGTAGAAAGATTGGTGTGTTTTACACAATATCTGTTGTAATAATGTATGTTGTCAACAGTTTTGAAAATGCCCCAAAAAAAAAAGACCAAAAGAAAAAGCAGATGGTGAACCTCGAATCAAACTAAAGCTGAATGCCAGGGGAAGGTTTGAGTGTCACTTTCAATAAACCAGTAAGCTCAGTTCACTCTTTACTTGGTATGACTTGGAGCTGATTTTGCAGTTTTGCACTACTCTCTCCTCACAGCAAAAAAAAAAAGAAAAAGAAGAAGAAGAAAAAATACATAGTATACCGGAATTTGATTCCAGCCTGCTGTACTTGATGCTGAAATGTAGCTATCTGGCAATTTAAAAAATAGTCTCAGAGCTTATAAAATTGACTCAAAATACATTGCTACATGAAAATTTTATCAGCATATCATATTGAGCAAAATGTAAAAATACAGATGGATCTTGGCTTCAGCTTGAGCATCCTGCAGGCTGTTTCCATATTACAAGAAAAAAGATGTTCTTTCCTATTATACTGTTTAAATGCAGACTAAATCATTCTTTCATAGCAATGCTTGCACCACTGCTAGGAAACTGTTATACCTACAACTAAAAAAGGAATACCTAAAAATAAAGCTTCCAAAGGTTTCTTTTGGTAATAGAAATTGTTCAGTGAACATTTCTTAAAAAAAATAAAAAAACTTTTAAAGGATGTTAAATGTTCTTCATGTAACCAATGCCAGTACAGAACATTTATGAATGCTGGTCAGTTAGTTTGTGGATGAGCTAAAATAACGAACTAACTAAATGTAATGTAATGTAAAAGAAGTAATATTTAAAAATAATTTAGAATTTTTTCTAGTCTTCCGTGCATGCAATCCTTCATAAATTAATCTAATATGCTGATTTAGTGGTCAATACAAATATTGTTATCAGTGTTGAAAACAGTTGCCCTGCATCATTTGTTTGTTATGTTTATGGAAACTGTGATACATATTTTATTAGGATTCTTTTAATGGATAGAAAGTTTAAAAGTAGCAATATTAAGCTTACTACTGTAAATTATATTAATCTCAATTTAAACTGTCTTATATTTATTACAGCAACATATCAGACCAGGCTTTAAAGCATTCCTTTAACTTCCTGTCATCTTCTTGAGTTCCACCCACTCTCTTCTGGAACTACATGGAAGACACTCGAACAACACTGCAGGAAATGAAGAGGAGTAGAGACTTGGCAACAAATGCGACACGGTAATATGCAGAAAGGATATAGAGGTACAGCAGTCTACCAGAAGACATTAAAGGGCATGTCAAATTAACTTTCAAAAGTTCAGGGATGTGATAAGTCCAGCAAACCTGTGATGTGTGTGAGGAGAGCTATGCCTATAAATTCAAGAGTAATGGCAGTGGTATTCTTTCATGACAATAAATTAATGGAACCCAAGGGACTTTTTATACTGACATTTTAAACTAACTTTTCTAAGGTTTTTTGAGGAAACAAGAACTGAGGAGAGAAGAAAAAAGGAGAGCGGTTGAAAAAGGTGAGAACGGCAGTTTGCCAGAGAGTTGAGACGTTGCAGATAGATAGAGACATTTGAGTCCATCTCTATAATATACAGCACATATCATTCACAGCACTGCCTAATTCATTATCCACACTGCTGCGCAATTATGCAGCGTCGGCAATCCGGAGCACACACGCGCATACGCACACACTTTGTGTGTCACACTATATCACCCAAGCTGAGGTCCGTCACACTAAATTACAGCGTCAATAAGACCTGTAGGCCAAAGCAAAGGGCCAGCCTTCCTCACACACACACATACATACAAAATGCTATCACCTCCTAAAAGAGAGCGTGATAGTTACTCATTACTTCTCTGTTTATAAATGTCACGTCACATGCTCACGTCGCACCTCTACGGGCTGATTCGAGAAGCAGCTTTTTCTCATGCATCCCTTTATCCACCTTCAATCACTCTGCGTCTTTCAATTTGGCACTTTGATCACCCCATTCTCTCGGCGTTTCATTGTCTTTCCCTTCCCGCTCTCTCTATTTCCCTCTCGCCTCAATAAATGCCTCCGTAGAGACAATAAACAAAAACAACGACCTCTTTAAAAACCCTCAATATGGCTCACTAGCAAATGAAGTCGCAGAGGACAAATTACCGTGGCTCTTGTTAACGCCGACCTGCTTATTAATTCCGCATGTTTTTTTAAATGTCGGGTCGGGGCTGTATTTTAAAACGTCTTAATGGCCTCCACCATTCCATTAACGTTCTGTTCCCCTTCTCTGCACTCTGACTGATGTGCAAGTCACCTAATTGCAGACAAATCGCTTTGCCACACACAATAACTTGGGTATTTTTGATGTTTAATTTTAGGAGCTTATTAAGCGCAGGTCTTTTCCTTCTTTCTCGCTCGTTGTTTAACTTCAAGGCTATTTTTCTTTTGC